CTCTGCTTAATTAGCTCGCTATGTTTCAGTTTTCTTTTTTGAATTTTTTTTCAGCTTTGCCCATTTTTCAAAAAGCCTCTCCAATTTGATAGCTGCATGATGTTCTGGATGAATTGACATTTGGGACTTGTTATATATATATATATACCCCCATAGTAAATTTAGAAACTACTGCCATGTTATACAGAATATTCCGGCAGTAAAAAGTGAGGGAATGGATTATTCACATATATCGAATGTTTTTGAACATTCTGAATAATGTGGAATATTCTAGAATGTGCAACAATATTCCAGAATGTGCTATAACATCCCATAATATTCTAAAATATTCAGATATAATGCGAGCTACAAGGTAAAATTTTAACAACCTTGTTTGTTAGTAGTTAAGTACAAAGCTACACAATGAGCTGTGCTACATTTCAACAACTGATGGAGTGTGTTCTCTCTCTCTAAACTACCCTGGAACATCACACTTATCTACCTGGATAGCATAATCACACATGAGAAGACCCTGACGATGCTTATAAAGGGCTAAGAAAAAATTATGTATCAATTAAGGAAGAAGCTTAACCTAAGTCATAAAAAATGCGAATTGTCTCATCAACAGCTGGTGTTCCTGGAACATAAAGTTAGCAGAAATGTTCTGTCTACAGACCCATATAACACTGAGTCTGTCCAAAATTAGCCAACTTTAAAGAACCTGCATAAGGTAAGAACATTTATTGGACTGTGCTCTTACTACTGTCATTCTTTTCAAATGATTCTCTGACACATTTCATCCTCTGTGCAAATCACTTGAAAACAAATAAGTTTTATTGGACAGCTGATTGCAAACAAATATTCCACTTACAGTAGAAAAGATTTACCACTATTCCTGTATTAGCATAACCAACTCTTGAGATTCATTTATTTTAGACACATGCCAGTGATTTTACAGTAGAAGATGTGTTATTACAAGTACAATACAGAAAATAGCATGTGATTGCCTTCTATAGCAAGGAAATGAATGCCGCAAGAAGGAGGTATTGTGGTAGTCGAAAAGAGCTACTAAGTGTTCTTCGAGCCGTCATTTCCATCATTACCTTCATGAACAAAAGTTTACACTCTTGAAAGATCACACAGCATTGAAGTGGCTAGTGAATTTTGGAATACAGAAGGCCAGATAGCAAGATGTCCCAGAAACTTTAAGAGTATAACTTTAACATGGTGCATCACCCTGGATAGAACCATTGAAATGTTTCAATGGTTCTATCCAGGGTGATGCACCATGTTAAAGTTATACTTTGAGTATAACTTTAACATGGTGCATCACCCTGGATAGAAGTATAACTTTAACATGGTGCATCACCCTGGATAGAACCATTGAAATGAGTATAACTTTAACATGGTGCATCACCCTGGATAGAAGTATAACTTTAACATGGTGCATCACCCTGGATAGAACCATTGAAATGAGTATAACATGCACCATGTTAAAGTTATACTCATTCCAATGGTTCTATCCAGGGTGATGCACCATGTTAAAGTTATACTCATTTCAATGGTACTATCCAGGGTGATGCACCATGTTAAAGTTATACTCATTTCAATGGTTCTATCCAGGGTGATGCACCATGTTAAAGTTATACTTCTATCCAGGTGATGCACCATGTTGAAAAACCCTGGATAGAAGTATAACTTTAACATGGTGCATCACCCTCGATAGAACCATTGAAATGTTGATGATATAAACTGAAGCCCATGAGATAATGAATAATGCAAACATGTGAAAAGAGGGAAGCATGAGATAGTAAACAATCAACAACAGAGTATCCAGGATGGGACATCCATTCCCGATGACCATGTGTTAAAGAAGAATGCAAACACTGTAAAAGAGGGGTATACGAGACAGTAAATTATTAACCTAAAGTACAACAGTCTAAAGGCCACGACAGAACAACGTCAAATAATGCTGAAGAACTAATGTGGTCCAACACACTCAACTGAAACATTATCAGGTAAATAATGGCTGGAGACGGCTTAAATGGGTAATGAAGAAAAACTTTAATATAAGTTTAACATGACAGCAAAT